TAATGTTAGAGGAGATGTCATCACCCTCATGAGTTAGGAGCTATGACATGATGACAGTAGCACTCCTGGTTTCAGTACCCAGTGTTGCCTCTTGAGCATCCTTGATCTCAACATTCTTAATTTAGTCCAGCCAGCTACCCATGACACCCCATTCCATTTCTGGCTTAGGCAATCTAGCTAGGAAGTTAACATCATGCTCTTGATCAATGCTGAAAAGCCCGATAGACTAGTACTTGACACAACATTTCTACTCTGTGCATTAGAGTCTCTTCGTTTGTGTATAGTTTCAAATAAGTGGGCTCATGGCTCTTCCTGTAGAAGTCCCGTGGGCATATGGCTTAGCCGGCTGCTTGTAGACCCCATCACCAGCTCTGAGGGTAAGCTATGCCATAGACACTGACATGGCACTTCTGAGTGGTTTGGTAAGATGTGGCACCACGACTCCACCAGGTTTGGAAGGCACTGTTCTGCAGGGGCTTTTATTAGGGTACGTTTGCAGCCTCCTCGGATGTGTGTGCGTCACACCACGACCCACCAGCTGAGTCCATGGCCTTGATGGTTCAGAAGTGCAGGCCAACTCCCGGTCGCCAACAGCAATAGCAACAACCACCCAACCTGGGCCATTTAGTGAAATATTCGGTGACAGAAAGTTAAGGGAAGACTCTTCCCTGTTTGCAGCTTCAGCACCTGAACTTGAATCCTGAGCCATGGATGTCTCCCTGATTAGCTGCTGCTGAGCACTAGTCAGGTCTCAGTATTTGTATCTAACTTGATGTTCTGCTGCTCACTGCACATCCCCGGGCTGCAGCTCCTGCAGGCCCGCGGCCTCTGGGGCGATCTTTAACTGCTGGAGATGAGCCAAGGGTGCTGTGGCCTGTGTGGAGCCAGCACTTGGATTTCGCCCTAGAAGAGCCTGTCTGTCCATCCGTCCCTGCTGCTGAGCTCGGAGTGCTCCGAGTCCAGCATCACTCACCCTTGCCTCCCACCTGCAGTGCCCAGGTCCCTGTCCCCTCATCACTCTCGTCCTCCATCGTGGCCACAGCTGGTGCCTAAGATGGAGCTGGCTGCGTCCCCAGTAGCTTCTCTTGTGTGGAACCTGACTGAAGAGTGAGGAGGACGCGCTTGGATACGAACCTGCTGCGAACCTCTCATAGCCTGAAGGTTTCCCTCGACTTACCTGCTGCCGCAAGCTCTGACTCTTGCTGGTGCCCACCTGGCATCTCACACTCTGGCCGTTGTGAACTTTGTTTCCAGAACTTCATATCCGGCTTTTGCTGCTTCTCTGCCTCGTAAAAGTACTTCAGTCCAAGTCCTGCTATCTTTCAAGTGCACTTATTATTATTATTATTTTTTATTTTATGTATGTATGTGTGTAATCTCTACCCCCAAGGTGGGGCTCAAACTCAAAACCCTGAGGTTGAGAGTTGTGGGCTCTTCCAGCTGACCCGGCCAGGTGCCCCTGGGATGCAGATGTTTCCAAGTGTTCCTGTCCCCATGAGCTGAACCCACATCGCCTCTGCTTGCCCTGTGCACGAGTACAGGCTGCCATCTCAGCATCACTGATGCCCTGCTGCAGGTGCGTGGTTTTGTTGCCACAGCTAAGTCCCTTCCAAGGCAGGAGCATGCCTTCAGTAGTACTTGGCACATAGTGAATGCTCTCCTTGAGGTAAAGCTGGGAGGACAGACTTTTCTGAGAAAATGGCACTCAGACTCTAGAATTAGACTTTAATATGTACCTTGACTGTGCCATTGACTGGCAGCTGACCTTGGGCATGTTAGCTAACCTTCAAGATGTCATCTTTAGGGGCAGCTGGCCACCTCAGGAGGTGGAGTGTGTGACTCTTGATCTCAGGGTTGTGAGTTCCAGCACCTTGTTTGGGTGTAGAGATTACTTAAAAATAAAATAAAATAAAACTTAAAATGTCTGCTTTATCATCTTTAAAATGGGGCAATGACAGGATAAATGGGAGAGAACCAAATGAGAAAATCTGCGTAAGCTGTGTAGGATAGTGCCTGACATGTGATAACTGACTGCTCAAAGAAATATGATGTTTTAAAATTATTTTAAAAATAAAATTACATGTGTTTTAAAATTATTTTTTAAATAGATGAAACTTGTCATGCCACATATTTCAAAAGATCTAAAATAATGTATGATGAAAAGTCCTCTGTTCATGCTTGTCCTTCACACGCTCCTCCACTCCCCACCCCAGGGCAGCCACCGCCACTGGGGTTCTCTATCTTTTAAACAAGCAAGGGCATATTATATATTATGTATTAGATTGTTTTTTGTATGTATTAGATTGTTTTGATAGCCTATATTCTCCTCTGATTTGTCTTTTTGAGTGAAAAAGGAGAAATGTTTTGTTTTTCTATAGCAGAAATAGGAATGGGGGGGATACTGTATATATTTATATATCTTTTTTGTAGTTGACTTTTTTCCACCTGATGTTTTACAAAATGTCTAGAGATGGTTCCATTTTATGGATATATAATTAATTAGGTCATTTGCAAGCTCTTGCTAATACAAATAATAATAAATATAAATTTGTGTACTATCCCTTTGGCTCTAAATACTTGAGTGTATATTTCCTAAGGCCAAGATATACTGTCCTAGATAATCATTGGACAGATGTCAACATCAGGGTGTTATAACCCTTCTTTTTTTTTTTGACATTTAATTATTTATTCATAGAGACACACAGAGAGAGAGATGCAGAGACACAGGCAGAGGGAGAAGCAGACTCCATGCAGGGAACCTGATGTGGGACTCAATCCCTGGTCTCCGGGATCACGCCCTGGACTGAAGGCGGCGCTAAACCCGCTGAGCCACCAGGGCTGCCCAACATCAGGGTGTTAACATGGATCCAGTCCACAGGTCTTACTCAGATTTCATTATTTGTATCACTAATGTGCTTGATAACAAGGAAAAGAAATTTGTTCATACTTACAGTTGTAAATATTGGTGATTTTGCTTCTTTGTAGTCCGTCTGTCTACACTCCGAACGACACCATAGCAGAGTGCCTGTTTCCTTATCCTTTCTGAAGAGATTGTTGTCAAAATTTGGGGATCCTTTTTACTCACCTGATAGGTTAAAAATGGTTTCTTATTGTTTTAATTGCATTTCTCTTGTAAGGAATCAAAGGTTGAGCAAGTTTTCCTGTTTAAAGAGCCAGGGCTGCATTTTTTCCATGTGACTGAGTCAACTTTTATTTGCTGTGATATGTTGAGGATGACAGTATTTTGATAGCGTATATTCTCTGATTTGTCTTTTTGAGTGAAAAGGGAGAAATGTTTTGTTTTTCTATAGCCAGATTTGTCAGCGTGTCACGGGTTTTGGATGGGTATAAGACTTAGACTTCAACACTGATGTTATGGGAAATAACCTCTTTTATCCAATGCTTTCATACTTTTCCTATTTTAAACTAAATCTTTGACTCAGTTTTATTTTTTGTTTCCAGATGAACACCCTGCTGTCCAAACACCATGCCACCATTCCGTTCTTTATACCTGCAGACCTACATGGGTCTTGACTGTGTTCTGTGTACAAACCTGTCTTTTTTTTCATGTGTTCTGGTACCAGACAATTGTAGCTCTGTAGGATGCTTTCATAACTGGCAGGCCTAGTCCTCCCCAGTTACACTGTTTTTAAAGTGTATTTTTGACCATTTTCACATGCTTATTTTTTCATGTGTACTTTGGAATCGTCTGCTAAATTTCCAGAGCGCTAGTTTTCTTAAAAAATCCTATTGGTATTTGTATTTAAGTGATTTAACCAGTGAGTATTGATGTCTTTATAACTTGTTGTCTTTGTACCAAATAATAGGGTGTGTATTTCCATTTATTCAGGTGTTTTCTTTTTCTTTTCTTTTTTTGTATTTTAGTAGTAGTTTAAAATTTTCTTCTGGATTTTGTTAAACATGAAGGATGTTGATTTCCATGTATTAAAATGTGGTCCTCTTTCTTAGTTTTAGTTTTCTTTTAAGGCATATAATCATATCATTTGTAAATAATGATTTTACGTTTTCCTTTATAGTTTATACTGTGTATTTCTGTATCTTATCTAATTTTGTTGGCTTGTATCACTGGAACACAATAAATTCATGACAGTGACAGTGGATTTTTTTTTTTCCTGACTGTAATAGGATTGTTTTTAGTATTTTCCTATTATGTCAGAGGTTGTGTTGAGATATGTTTATTCAGCTCTTCCTCTTTTTCGATAATTTTTTAAAAATTAAGAGTAGATATTAAATTTTAGTAATTGCTTTTTCATCTTAAAGATGATTATAATATATGCTTCTTTTCAAATTTATTAATATGTTGGAAGAGAAAAGCAATTTCTGAGACCAGGGAAAGTTGCCATGTGGGAATGCAGATCTGGTTTTCCAGATCTTTCCATTTGTCAAAGGGTCAAAAATCTGTGTTTAACTTTTTTTTGTAACAGTGTGTGGTCCAAACAAAACCTACACAAGCCACATTTGGAGACATCTACAGGCTGCCAGTCTGTACTTTCTGGCCAGTCCATTCCCAGAAATAATTCGAACCTGGTGACAGTTTTATATTATGTCATTTTAGGTAATTAAATAAGGTTTTCATTTTTGCCTAGAAAAAAACTGATGGGGTAGGGATTTCCCAAGTTTAGCTAACTATAGTTATCCCACCTTTTATACCTTGCTTTTCTGATTTGTCATAAGACTGTTAGGTAGTTATTGTACTTTTGACTTCATTTCACCTATCCAGTTAGCACTCTTTTACTTCCCACAGGCTGTGATTTGTGTTCTCATGTGACTGTTCAGATTTTCTGTCAGATTGAACCATAGTCTTCAGTAATTTCAGTGATTCTGAGAATTTCAACGTTTTCATAACTGATCATATATCTTCTGCTGTGGCAAAAAGTAGATAGCTTTTTATAAGTATGTGTGCTGTTTTAATCTAACCCTAGAAAGACATTAAAGTGCCTCAATATTTGGTATAATAGCTGTGTTTCATTTGGCCGCAGGTTCAATCCGTGAGGAGAACGGTGTTCGATGGCATGTATGTCCTTACTGCACCAAGGAGTTCCGGAAGCCGAGTGACCTGGTGCGCCACATCCGCATTCACACCCACGAGAAGCCCTTCAAGTGTCCACAGTGTTTCCGGGCCTTTGCTGTGAAGAGCACCCTGACCGCTCACATCAAAACGCACACGGGCATCAAGGCGTTCAAGTGCCAGTACTGCCTGAAGAGCTTTTCCACCTCGGGGAGCCTCAAAGTGCACATCCGCCTGCACACAGGTGCTACAGGGGTGCTCCGGGGATACTAGGTCATGGCAATCTGCGGAGAGTAGTCCAGCACTTCCAGGGCTTGTTTTTCTTTAGTACGTACTTAATGATTCCCTTCTCTAGGCTAGGCTCTCGGTGTAACTGGTAAAGAAAGCTGATGTGACCTGGATTCTCAGGGAGCTGATGGCTTAATGGGGGAAGCATTAAACAGTACCACTGAGGGATGAACCTATGGGGCTGAGCCGAGGGAGGGGTGTTATGGGCAAACACGTTTGTGTGTAGAGGGGATGGGCCTTTCTGTGGAAGAGACGCCTCCGTGGGGCGTTTGTGCTGAGGCCTTGGGCAGTGAGGGAAAACCTGACTCTTGCTCTACCTTTTGGATATTTTGTAATCAGTATTAAGGCATGAAAATGTTCATATTTAGGCAGTAATTTTTTTTGTAATAGTTTTATTGAGATATATATAACTCACAGATCATAAAATTTACTTTTTTAAAAAAAACTTAATTTATTCATGAGAGAGAGAGAGGCAGAGACATAGGCAGAGAGAGAAGCAGGCTCCCTGTGGGGACCCAATGCGGGCTTGATCCTAAGACCCTGGGATCACGCTCTGAGCCAAACGCAGACGCTCAACCACTGAGCCACCCAGGTACCCCAAAATTTACCCTTTCAAAGTGAATTCAGAATTCACTTTATTCAGAAATTGTGCAGCCCACCCAACTATGGATTTTCAACATTTCTATCCTTTTCTCCCTACCACCCCCCCCCCCCCCCCCGCCAAGATATACCATCCCCATTAGCATTGACTTCTACTACTCACTCACCTGGGGTTCCTGGGCTAAGCTGACCATGTGGATGAAGATTTGAAAACACTGAAATTAGTCAATTTTGCACTATGTCCTTCTGTGGAATTTCTAGTTTCATTTACCAATAAAATTATAAGTGAAGTCTGTCTTCAGCACTTCAGAGCTGCTAAAGTGCTATTTAGACATGAGTGTGTACGGTCCTGGAAAAGCAGCCTAGAGTAGGTGCTGTAATTTCAGTTTACAGATGATGGTTTGAGAGAGAGGAGTCACACACTTTACTATTCTTAGGGACTGAATATTTGAATGTTTTAAGGTTTAAGTATTTTACACTGCAAAGCTAACAGGTGTTCTTTTTTACTTAAAATGCTCTTATTACATGCCTTAGCATCTAAATATTCACTGTGTGCAAATAAGGGAAAAATAACTCTGATTTATAATATCCTTGAGATTATAAGCATGAAATGATGAATAGTCAAATCAGTATTAAAATACTAGAATTTTATGTTGGCATTAATTGTTGCGATGTATTTTCTTGAAATAGTTATACAGTCTACTTTCATTTTTTTTTTAGGGGTCAGACCTTTTGCTTGTCCTCACTGTGACAAAAGGTTTCGAACCTCAGGCCATAGGAAGACTCACATTGCTTCTCACTTTAAACACACGGAGTTAAGAAAGATGAGGCACCAGCGTAAACCTGCAAAGGTTCGAGTCGGCAAGACCAGCGTTCCAGTCCCTGATATTCCTTTGCAAGAGCCGATTCTCATAACTGACGTAGGTAAGATTCTCTTCTCCTTTGTACTTTGGAAAGATTATACAAATACTACGGTCCACATAGTTTTTAGCATGGTATTAATATAGTTTTTGTTCAGCATTTTTGCTTTATGGCCTAGTACGCTCCACAGTCAAAATGAAAATCCTAGTTCTGTATAAACTACCGCTATAGTAGAAATGCTGTGCAGAAGTGAAGATGTATGTAAGTTCTCGTTGAAGAAAAATTTCTTCCTCAATAGAACTGTCAAAGTGGACAGGTGTTCTTTATGTGAAATATGCAGTGTCCTTTGTTATTTTTATCTTAAAATCCCTATGTAGTGTGTAACAGATTATTACATGACTGCTTTAATATTTGAACTGAAAAAAAAAAAACCTGCCAGCTTTTAAGGCCTTTTTTTTTTTAGAGTCAGTGTTATTGTAATCAAGGTAAAGTAGGATTTTGTTAACTAACTAAAAAGAAAACACTGCTTATAAGAATCTTCAGAAAAATGATTTTTGTAAGTGCTAAACGAAATTAAAGAAACTTCATTAAATTCTGTACTAAAACTTATATTTTCATGCAGTTTCTGTATTTCATTATCTTAGGCAAGATAATCCAGTCTGTGAACAAAATTAACATGAAAGTATAATTTAATATAAATAAAGGTTAAATGGTATAAAGGAGATATTTTAGATTAATATAAATTATAATCTGCTACAATCATGAATCTTTAGGAGCATAGCATCAAATATATAAAGCAAGAAAAATTAGAAGAAAAGAGAACTATTCAAATTCTAATCGTATAGTGTAAGATACTCAATTAGATCGTTTTAACTAAATAGTGAAACTAAAGAAAATTTGAAGTATACATATAACAAGGGGTTAGCTTTCTAGAATCTTTACTCTATAATACATAGTCTTTTAAATATGCATGAAACAAAGTTGATCAAATCCTAGGATATAGAAAAACTTTAAATTTTCAGAAGTAGGTATTGTATAGGACACATCTTTGATTATAGTTCAGTGAAAGCACAATAGAACATAGCTAAATATGTTAGGTATAGTTCAAAAAGCTAGCATATTTGAAAATTTAGATGAAATAGATCTTTCCTAGAATAACATGCTTATCATAATTGGCTGTAGAAAAAATGGAAAACCCCAAAACAGGCAACAAGTAAAAGGTCATCCTCCCCAAAGTATCATTTTCTAATGATTTTGTGTCTGAGTTCTTCTGGGCTTCTGAGGAACTGTGATTCTTAGAGTATTAATAGTTCAAAGTCTAGAAACTGATCAAAGCTCCCATGGGAAGTGAGAATACTTTGATGTCCTTGTCCACTTTTGGTAGCTCACAAAGCAAAGCAACAAACCAATTTCACTTAATGTGTATTTAATCTTTACTATAATCTTTAGGTTCTCAATGGTTTGTGCCATTCTTGAAATGCAGAAAAATCTCTGAAAGTCAGGACAGATTTAACATTTATTTAGTGGCCCTAGAATTATTCTTCATTCTTGAGAGTTCCTCTCAAATTCCCAGTTTTTTTAGGTTGCCGTGAATCAGGTTAAATATCTGTGGGTTTGTTTCTTTTTTTTTTTTTTTTTTAAAGATTTTATTCATTTATTCATGGGAGACACACAGAGACAGACAGAGACATAGGCAGAGGGAGAAGCAGGCTTCTTGCAGGGAGCCTGATGCAGGACTCCATCACAGGACCCTGGGATCACAACCTGAGCTGAAGGCAAACGCTCAACCACAGACCCACCCAGGTGTTCGTTTCTTGACTTTAAGTTTGTAAAGCCTTAGTTGAGTTATACTACAATCCTGATACTGTAAGTTTTTTCCAAGATTAAAATGGGGTACATTTTACTTGTTGGTTTCACAGATGTCTAGGAAACCAAACTTGGACCATATTAGTGGAAGCAGAATTCTCCTTTGGTCTAGGCTGAATGAGACACATGAGGGAAATGAGTTGTAGAGATGGCTTCATATTGTAAAACATAAAATATTGTAAATAGTTATTTTTATGCTTAACTTCATTATTATTTATGTTTGTGTCTGTCTCTTTTAGACTCTGAACTCCTTGGGGCTTTATAGAAAAGACATGACTTCAGTAATGGGGACAGATTTTTAGGGGACAGATTTTTTTTTTTTTTTTTAGGGGACAGATTTTGATAAAACATGACAGGGTTTTAGTATAGATTAGTTACAATTATTTGACTTCATTGGGAGATGAGCTGTTCTAGTTCAGACTAGTTACCTAAAACACAGTATGTCTTTTAGACTAACACTGTCACTTAGGAAGGTATTAGAATGCATTAATACAACTGTACTGAGTCTTTTAGTCTGTATATTAAGGAAGTACTGTTAGTGGTATAGTACCATATGTTCATAAAAACTTTTAGAGCTGTATAGGAACTTAAAAAGAGTCATTCCAAAACTTTTCCACATTCCTCATTTGTATAGATGTAAAAACTAGGCTCTAGAAGAAGTTATAGTGTTGCTTTGAGGCTATATAACAAGTTTTGTATTCACGGTAGAACTAGAATCTGGATCTTCTGACTTCTAGACCCAGGCTGTGTTCAATAAAATTCACTTCCTCTGCATACCCATTACCACTGCATGCCCAGGCACAGAAGTGTGGAAGAGCACACCATGATTTTCAAGTAGCCTTTGTATCATGGTTATCAAGTACCAGCAATTTTTACTAAACTTGAATATTAAGTTTATTATATGTTAGGGATTATATTTCACTAGACATGCTGTCTTATACTCTAAATGTTTTTTCTTCTAATTTAAGAGCTAAATTTTAAGTACAATAATGTGTAGACTGGGGAGGTATTAGAGTCAAGGTGATCATAATAATCAGGGGGAGTTCATTATTACCATCATAAAAAGCTGAGAGAGTTCATTACCACCAGACCTTATAAGAAATACTGAAGGGATTTCTTTGAGTGGAAGTAAAAGAACAATAATTAGCATCATAAAAACATAAAAAAGTAACGTAAATCTCATTGGTAATGATAAACATGCAGTCATAGTTAGATTCTGCAATATGCTAATACTTGTGCATACTTAATTACAACTCTTGTTTAAAAGTTAAAAAAAAAAAGTTTAAAAAAAGAGAAGAGAGTAAAAATAACCATAAGTAGTTACTGTAATCTTTTGTTACATAGTATAAAAAACTCATCAATTGTGGCAATAACCTAAAATGTGAGGGGGGAGGAGAAGTTAAAATATAAAATTTGTGAATTCTGTTGGAGTTATTATACATTTAAAATGGGGTATTATAAGTTTAAGATAGTCTGTGTAAGCCCCATGGTAACCACAAGGGAAAATCCTATAGGAATTACACAAAAGAGCATGATAAAGAAATTAAAACATACTGTTACCAAAAGGTATTAAAGCACAAAATGGACAGCAAAATAGGAAACAAAGAACATAGGATCCAGAAAACAATTAACAAAATGGCGTTAGTGAGTTCTTACCTATCAGTAATTAAGTGTAAATGGATTAAATCCTCAAATTAAAGGGCATAGAATGGCTGAAAGGATAGCAAAACGGATCCAGTGATAATGCTGCCCACAAGAGACTCGTGTTAGCTTTGAAAAAATACACATAGTCTGAGAGTAAAGGATGGAAAAAAACATTTCAAGCAAATGGTAACCAAAAAAGGCAGGGATAGTTATACTTGCATCAGACCAAATAGACTTAGTTAATTCTTTATTTTTATTTTTTAGACAAAATAGAGTTGAAAGTAGAAATTGTAAAAAAAAAAAAAAAAAGATAAAGGAGGTCCTTATATAATGATAAACAGATCAATATATCCAGAAGATACAACAATTGTAAATATCTGTGCATTCAACATGGAAATACTACCTAAATATATAAAGCAGAAAAGGACAGCTAAAAGGAGAAATAGTAATACAGTAATCATTGAGGAATCTAATACTCCACTCTCAACAATGGACAGATTATTCAGATGGAGAATCAGTAAGGAAACAGCAGATTTGACCAACACTATAAACCAGCTGGAACTCACAGGCATATGCAGGACATTCTAACCAACAACAACAGAACACACATTCTTCTCAAGTACACATCATACATTTTCTAGGATATATTATATGTTAGGCCACAACAAAACATCTTAGCAAATTCATAATAATCAAGTCTGTTAACATAGAAAAGCCCAGGATCAGATGACTTCACTGGTGAATTTTACCAAACATTAAAGAACAATTAATAACATCAATGTTCTTTCTTAAACTCTTCCAGAAAATTCAGACGAAGGAACATTCCCAAAGTCATTGTCATCATACCAAAACCAGAAAAGGACACTACTAGAAAAGAAAACTACAGGCCAATATCCCTGATGAACTTAAATGCAAAAATTCTCAATAAAATAGTGCGAAACCAAATTCAGCACATTAAAAGGAAGATTCACCATAATTAGGTGGAATTTATCACAGGGATGCAAGGATGGTTTAACATACACAATTCAATCAAGTGATACATTACATAAACAGAATGAAACAAAAAGAATCTTAGGATCCCAATAGAAAACATCTGACAAAATTCGACATCTCTTCATGATAACAAATGTTAACAAAATAGGCATAGAAGGAACATGTCTCAACATAATAAAAGCCGTATATGATAAGACTACCGTTAACAATATACTTGATGGTAAAAGGGTAAATAAAAGGCTTTTCCTCTAAGATCAAAACAAGACAAGGGTACCCATTCTCACCACTCCTATTCAAGATAGTGCTGGAAGTCCCAGCTAGAGGAGTAGCATCCAAAACAGTAAAATACTCAGGAATAAATATAGCTACGGAGGAAAAAAATCTCTACCTGAAAACTAAAAGGCACTAATGTAAGAAGTTGAAGAAGATACAAATAAATGGAAAAGTATCCCATGTTCATGGACTAGAAGAATTAACATTGTTAAAATGTCATAGTGCCAAAGCCATCTGTGGATTCAGTGCAGTCCTATCAGAATTCCAATGATGTTTTTTATAGAAGT